TTAGGAGCATATGGAGCCAACTGCAACCCATCTCGCAAGGTAAAACGCGTAAAAATCACGAGTGAGCAATTTTCGTGGTGCAAAAGCTCGAAATGCACTAAAAGATGCACGCTACCGTAACCCTGAACTCGGACGCCGAGTTTTTGGAATTTTCTTCGTGTTTTTCGTTCGTGTTCTTCAATGTTTTTCGTATTCTTTCTTTGCATTGGATGATATCCATTACTGGGAGATGCGATAAAGCGATTTGTGAGCCAGGGGCACAGAGACCGCAGGGCGGTGTGACTGTCAGGGAGCGATTTTGTTCATGGTGTTCTTGAGGGCTCTTCTTGCTTTTTTCTTCTTTGGGGAATTACTTATCAGCTACTGTTTCATAAACAGCAACTATCCATGACACTTTTATAGCGGGAGCTGTCTTCAAAGGAAGCTCAGCGTTCTTTGATGTTCAGACGCTTTCTTGGATTAGGTAATCATGCGCGCAAGCGACGATGCATCACTTTCGCAGCTTGAGAATACCGAAAGAAAGCTCGTCCGTTCGTGACGAGAGCATGGCCCCGCCCACTAGCCAAGGCGACGCTCAACTTTCATTTTTAAAGCCTTCCTGATGGTGCGGTTATTCCGCTACTAACCGTCCTCTCTTCAAATGGTGAGGGTGAGGTGGTAAGGAGAATGTGCTGGCACCAATATGTGAGAACTCACCCGACCGCGCCTTTTTCAACCTTATGCACGTACAAACGCGGTTTAGCATGGGGTTCTATATGGAGCATCTCTAGAAGGTTTTCTCTGCTTTTTTTCTTCGCTTTTGTATTCCATATCACCTTTTCATTAGTAGCCCTAACTTCATTGAGCCGCATAACTTGAAGACCATTCCCGCGAAGAGGTGTTACGGGTAGCAGTGCTCAACCATGAACCAGTAGCCCATAAGCAACCCCCCCCCGGACAGGAAGAAACAAGACAAAAAAATCTTGGGAACACTCCGAACGGAGCCCCCTTCCCCCACTCCCCGCTCCTTTGCAGTGTGCGCCGTGGATGAGTTTGTCGGGCGTCGGCAAGTCCGATCAGCAGGATTCGACGTGAACCCGATTTCCGGCAAGAGCACAGATCACCCTACGAACTTCGTATATACAGGGGGGGGGAGCCAAAAAAAAGCCATTCGGCCGACCCACATATCAACTGGGAGGAGAGTTCAGAAGTTTTTCGGCGCAGCCGCAGACAGGGAAGTGGATCTGTAGTACCTAGAGTGAAAGATACCCAAGAATCTTCCTTCTATAACTGGAGCAACGCTTGCCGGCCATCGCGTTTCATGTTAACGCCTAAAATATTGTAATCATCTCCCGTCGGCGCTGACTGGTAGAACACCTTTGGATAGTTTCACGTCGGCCTCCAAACAGCTGCGAAACTTCTGAACTGTAAGTCATGCCAGCAAGATAGGATACCTGGAGGTCCAGTACCTTGACACTGCAATGACCTGCCCACAGTGACCAGGGCTACGGCAATCGTGCTAGCGGTTCTAGGACAGATCTCGTCACCGGTATTTTGCCGACGGCGCGAGGTTGATGGTATGGACGTCAGGGGTACCATGGAAAGGGAAGAGCCGATATTCTTCTTTGGTAGAGCCCACTTGATATGGTGATGGCGCGGCGTGTTACATCTAAGTAACTCGAGAAGGATTATCCTCTAGCATGTGTCGCCGTACCGTCTTGGTAGACGCTTGGTGCTGCACAGTTTGGTGCCACCGACATGGAATCAAAGGTTTGGAGAAAACTTCGCTCTGACTTGTGAATCGATAGGGGCTGAATCCTAAAGAACGGTAGAATATCCAAGTAGGTCGACTTCCTTGACCTGTATCCCTAAATCACCCGGTTCAGGGGCGGAGATTGCAACTAGGGTGGATCGTACGGGTGCGAGAATCAACGGATCTCGCTCTAACGTCCGGTATCCCGACTCTACAGGCCTCGGTTCGCGCGCCGAATCTCTCGATGGCGCTCCTCCAGAAGGCTGTGGCGGAGTATCATTATAGTATTTAATGTGCTCTTTAATATGGTAGTAAAATGTCCGATAAAAATTTAATAAAGTGTAACTTATAGCGCCTTGAAAGTCATGGAGGCAAAATGACTTTTTTTTGGCCCCCCCCCCCTGTACACACCACGTTCCCTTTGTAAGCCGTTATCCGCCGGCGCAGTGTGATAAGTAACTCAAAGGTTGCAGCTGGTTGCAGAAATCACGGCGTTTCCTAGGCCGTTGCTATCAACGCGTTTGAACGTGACAAAGTAGTGGTTACTCTCTGGCAAATGCGGAAACGGGATGCCAATATGCACGGGGGCAGTGTTCGCCGACATCCGTGATCATATGAACGTCTCTAACATTGTATGCCTAAAGGGTGCCATGTTCAACAGGTATTAGGCATTGGCGGTTTTTCTGTTGTCCACACAAGGCAGCCTGTTTCTTGTTAATAGTTCAAGTTGTTACAAGCCTGTACATCGCTGCGGTTAGAGGTTCGCAAACCTATCCTCCTCGATGAAACTTTTCTACATCTGCCTTTTGCATCTGGAACCGCTCAGTTCCAAGATGAAGCTTCAGTCTGTTCTTTTCGTCACCGTTATGAACGGAGCTATCCATGCGGAAAAAACCTTTTGAAAAAGTATTCCGCGACCTAAAAGACCCCCTTGTAAAGACGAAAGAAATGAAGTCACCTTGGACAACCCTAACCATAACGCGAAAAAGTCGATACAGTTCTCCATATATAAAGCCACAATATCGCCTTTCTTATAACCTAGACTCTGAAACGTTAACTTTGAAGTTCTTTTCGAAATATTCAAATTTGACTTTCAGTGTAATTTGACTTTCTACAGCCCACAGTAACTGCTGACCATTTGTTGATCGGCATACGTCTGACCATGCCTTATCAGTACGTAGGCAAATAAACAGTGTCGAGCAGAACTTCATCATGTCACTAGTGACATTAACAGCTAAGAAAACATCACTCACAGCAAAATAATTGGCATATTTATTGGTGAGGTTATTGAGCTCATCAAAAAGGACTTGTCGACCCGTTTCTACTTCAATACAAGCTACTTTTCGCGGATGTTCCCGCACCTGAACACCGAAAATGGAGGAAAAAAGGAATTCGGGGAGTTCAAAACAAGATCAGCATGTAGAAACTTTAGAAACTTACCCTCTCTAAAAACACCTCATGTATCGGACGATTTGCTTTAAAACGTCGTCTAATGTCCAATTTTACACGTAGGAGAAGATAGATACCCCTGTAAAGCAGTCATCAGAATAATAACCTGTTATCTTCTAGGCTTATGTAAGGAACAAGGATTAAACATTCGACGCTAGGTCAATCCGTTTATCGGATACGCCACCATCATACACCCGTTCAAAAACGTAGGCTTTTGAATGCGAGCTTGTAAAACGACCCATGAGGGCCAGCCGATATACAAGTAAGTGTTCGCATCCTCTCAGATGGATCTGATGCCAATTTCCCGTCTTCGGAGGGAACGGAACGCTTGGATGGCCTGGGCGGGAACTGATTCCAGATTTGAAATCCTGACCGCGCGCGTGGTAAGCATGCCACATGCCGCTAGATCACCATGGCCTTCGTGATCTTATAAATCAGTAAATTGCTAACTCAATCAAGGCTACATAAATGGGCCATCTGCCTTAAAGGCAGAGCCCACAATCACACATTATTCACGCTTTTCATAGAAGGAAGTAGTGGGGACTACAATGACGAACACTGTATAAGTTTCACATCACAAAGTGGTAAAGGAGCGGCAGTAAAGCGCGAGGCTGCTCAAGTGACCTCTCCCACAGTGACAGATGTCTTACCTACTGTCTCGCTCATTTGCATGCTCTCTCGCTCCTTTCTCTGGCCTCTCGCCCCATGAACACAACGATTCTTGGTCTTTTGCTCGGCACCATTAGGGCCTTACTTGCAGCATTTTGACGGTTTCTTCTGCTTCAAATCGGCTAACACATAACAGTCCTATTTCTAATCGTGCTATCTACAAACTTTTCTGAAGAATCTGAAATCAATGGAATAGTCAAAAAGTAGGACATCGATTCTAGTAAGTGACATAAACAGTATGCAACTCATATCAATGGTTCGCGTGCGGATTGATGGTGAGTGTCCGCGACTCGCGCTTGCGCTGAGCCGAAACTCTGTTTTTTCGACCAAAGCGACTAGTACTAGCATATCGTTCGTGTATCACGTACTTTTTCAGCAGTTGTCCCTTCATCGGATCAAGCAATTGGCGGAGCCGAATCTGGCGGCGTCGACAGGGGACCACGCCTCAATAACATATCGCAACGGAAAACACTGTATAAGCAACGTGCACAGGTTCGCTACATAGGACCTCCCTGAAACCCCACATAGACAATACCTAACAGCTCGCGCAGAATGAACAGATATTACCTCAACATATCACCATCCATCACTTCTGCGGCGGACGCTCATATGGCGCGTGCCATCGCAAGTTTGATGATTGGGGCTAAAACAAACTCCTGCCTCGCTGCTCCATCGCACAGTGAGTACGTTCTACGTATTTCCCGGCTATTCACACAAGCGCATCGCTTTGAAACCGTTACACGAAACGGACTTTCACAACAGTTTCGGAGTGTTCTCCCAAACTAATCCCAACGCAACTTATCTGCGATGAATCTCGGAGACTTCAGAAATAGTTTCAAGTTTTTGGAAAGAGAAAATCTTCCAGAGTTCGATACTGGTTTCAGATTCCCAAACTATTGAGGTTCAAGGGAAATATCTCGGTTCAAACCTGTAAAACTCGCGCTGCAAACTATCCAAAAATGAACTCCCTAAATACTCCCCAACGCAAATTTCTACATGAAATCGGCGATCTTTATGTACATGTTAGTATGTTTTGGAAAGATAAAATCTTCTCCATACCACTGCGTTCTTCTTTTTCCCAAAGGTCCGCTATTACGGAAGTTATGGTCCTTTAAAGACACCCCACTTTCCTGAAAATCCGCGCTCCAATCAAACCACCTGCAACCACCTTGCGGCTGGAGGTCCTGCCCAGAATCCCTCCCCCGGTACCTCGGCCTTTAATCAGCTGATTGCGGCTGGTTTGCTCTCGTTCGTATTTACTCTTTCGTGTTTATCTTCTTCTCGGTTTATTCGAATATCGAATATTTATCTTCTTCTCAGTTTACTCGAATACGCGTCAGAGCGCGCCCCAGCAATTTTGCTTGGACCGCTCAGAGTGCTTTTAGGAGAAGTTGGCTTAATTTCCTGTTTTTTTTTTTAATTGCAATTGATTCAGGTACCAGAGTTTGTTTTGACTCGAGGAAAGGTGGGTGAAACCTAATGGCCTTTCTTTTCTATTCTCTTTTCTGAATCAGGATAGAAATGAGCAAAAAGCGAGGGGGCCTCGTTCAGGATTGTTACTTTTTCTATTTTTCGCGCTTACTTATACATAAACTTATGAAGTTTCTTCCTCCTCGGGGGGGGGGAAGAAACTTCATAAGTTTATGTATAGGGGGGGGGGGTCGTACGGGCTTCACCAAAATCCCCAACCAATGATGTGCCCTGGTACTCGAAGCGCACTCACTTTCACTGAATCGGTCGCGAGCTGTATTATTGAAAATTATCACGTTCTAAACTGTTTTTATTTCTTTTTCATTTTCCACTTCTATTTCCACAGCCATATTTATCGATGCGCAACTCCAAAACACTCACTCCGACTTGGCCCTCCTCCATTATTCTCCCACACACAATCAAGTTAGTAATGACGTAGATGAAAGGTGGTTGCCACATTGACCATAGGGGTAACAAACTGACAAACAACTCGTAGAGAACAAAAGCTCTCATCATATTAATCCAGATATTATGGCTTAGTTTGAAACATGGCGCGAACGCCAGATAAGGTCACCCTCTCCCCCACCCCCCAAGAACCTTTCCCGCATGTAGAAAAAGTCGAAATATAGAAACATTTCACTCACTTTAAATCTCTTCTAATCGTCCGTCGAATTCTATCGAAAAGTTCAGTACGAGTAAGGCGGTAGATAGAATACAAAATAAACACAATCCACCAACGATCACGCCCTGATAGAAGCATAATAACGGCGAATGCGGCAATACGCCATAATGCGTCAGACGGCGTATCCGGCATGTAGGCAGCTGTCTGTAACAATACTTGTTAGGCAATGGCAACCCCACATCACCTTATACTTTACAACACTTCAAAGTGAAGGGCTCGATATGGCACATCGCCGATGTTCACACTATTGGGTCAAATAAGAGCTCGTTCATACTTCCCGATCGCGCAATTGGATCGCTCCATTGGGGCCGCGCTCACGAAGTGACAATTCAAATTGTGCCGTTGCGGCGGAGCACCCGTTCGGCGATGGGGCATCTCCGGGTCGTGAGATCCGGTCGAGCGTTCCGAACGCGCGATCGTGAAGTATGAACGCGCTCTGAAGAAAAGAATGGAACTCAAACAGTATTGATATACATTATGGAACAGTTGTGAAAGTTTCAATCGTTATGTGACTTGAACGGCAGAATTTGCAATTAGCCAGCGAAACGTTTGTGGGAAGCGGGGTTAGAGATAGAAGTGTATGTACTAGCTGATTTGCCCATAAAGAAAAAGGAGAGGAGGCTTAAAATGCTCCAAATACGACCCTGTTTGTGCCAAGCGGGAGATAAAGAATCTATGTGGATATCAAGCGAGAGGCCAGAGAAAGCAGCCAGAGAGCATGCAAACGAGCAGGACAGCACATAAGACAACTAGTACTGTGGGCGGAGTCACTTGAGCAAGCCTTGCGCCGTACTGCCGCTAGCCTACCACTTTCTGATGTGAAACTCGTACAGGGTTTTTTGTTGCAGGACGTACTGCTTCTAGGAATAGCTTGGATAAGTATAGGTAATCGAGGTGATCGCGGACACTGCCTTATGAGGTTGTCCGGGTGAAATATTCACCAGTATGGCCTAAAATTTGACTGGAGTGTCGTCTTCAGAGGCTGAAGATCCCACAAAAGTCCACTGCGACAAGAGCCTTGACCAACTGTAAATATTTCGGCACTATTGAACTATTCCTACCCCAGTCTGCCAAAATCAGGCCGGTTTTTTACCGACTTTTCTACAAGGGCAGATTGGCTGGAAAATTTGCTCTAGGGTTACTTCGACCTTCTGAACACGAATATCACACCCCATTAGCCCGAAAGTGCCAAAGGCACCGGCGCCAAAATACCCTAAATCACCAAATTCGCTGAAAACTTGTCCCTAGGGGTAGAACCCCTGAACATGAATATCACATCTGCTTGGGCCAAGACCGCCTGGCGCCCGCGCCACAGGCGCCGGCGCCAAAACACCCTAAACCACCAAAATCGATGAAAACTTGTGTACGGGGGTTATTTGACATCCTGTTTACGAATATGACATTTATTCTTGGCGCTAACGTAGGACACTATGGTCATCTGCGCTTTGCTAGGACTGAGCCTGGCCTGAAGGGAATCACTCCTTTTCCCAGGTTCAGCCTCAGCAGAACGCTAAATGGCGCTGGTATGGAGAAATAAATGCCATACTCACGATCAGGGCATCAAACAACCCTATTACGCAAGTTTTTATCGATTTTGGGAAGAAAAGGTGTGGCGCCAAATGGCGCCAGCGTCGAAAATAAATGCCATATTCGTGATCAGGATGTCAGTTAACCCCCGTATACAAGTTTGCATCAAATTTGGCGAGAAAAGTGTTGGCGCCATGTTGGCGCCTGTTGGCGCCAAATGGCGCCAGCGCCAGAAATGAATGTCATATTCGTGATCAGGACATCGAATAACATCTACAGACAAAGTTTCAGCGAAATTTTTTTGAGTTTTTGGGGTACGACTAATTCAAAGGTGCCGATATTTCAAATTTACAAGCTAATCTTAATTTAGAATCCTAACAAAGTTCAGCGGTGAGGCTGAGGTGGAGGTGCTGTAGAAGTAAGTGGCACGCTTACCACGCGCGCGGTCCAGGGGTCAAATCCTCGATCGGTTCCTGCCTGTCTCCCGTTTACGACAACAAAGCCTGCTATCCCCCCCCTTCCCCTCCGAAGACGGTTAATTGGTACCAGATTCGCCTAAGAAGTTAAGAACACTGAATTGCACATGGGCTGGCCCCGCAATACATTACATTACATTACATCGCATCTAATGAGTCATTACTATTCCAAATGGAAGTAGAATGCGTGCCGCATACCAAAGTGGGATTGACCAACGGCCGAGACTTTGTCTACTTTTAATAAAGTTACAACTGACTAACGCTCT